TAATAATAATAATAATAATAATAATAATAATAATAATAATAATGATAATAATAAAACAGCTGGAGTAGCATTTTACAAAAAACCCGGGCTCATTGGCAAAAACTCAGTAAAATGGCCGCGAATAAAAAGAGCATTTCAGAGAAAAGTAAAAGAAAGATGGGCAGAGGTTTACCAGCGTGCAAAAACTTGTGAATATGCAAAAAAGAAGCCATATTTGAACACCATTCAGAAACACTCTGGTCTTCTTTGAGTCAAAACTCATTTAAGACAGACTGAGACAAAGAGGTCTGACGAATCAAATTTTAAATTCTGTTTGGAAACCACAAATGCCACATCCTCTATACTTAAGATAAGAGGAACCGTTTGCCTGTCATCAACACAGTCAGAAGCCTGCCTCTCTGATKATATAGGGGTGCATTAGTGCCTATGACACACTTGCACATCTGGAAAGGCAACATCACTGCAGAACAGTTTTAAAATAACATCTGAACCCATCCCCATTTGTAGTTATCAAAAAGGCTAAAACTGATCTGGTTAAGTTTCCTGTGATTTTCAGTAATAACTGAAAACTCATTTAAACTTTAAAAAGAGATGCTGTCTAAAAAACAATATTTTAATTCAGTGTTTAAATGAAGTTGGCATGTAATGACAACGCGTTTATTCATCAGCTATTTTTACAAACATTAACGCAAACTTTTTAAAGCTTACATCATGAACCTGTCCCCGGTGCTGTCGGTGTTTTTATTAGTAGGCTAAGCTAACAACGATGCTGAGTTAGAAGAACTCTGTTCGTATGGCCTGGTTCTTATTGATAACCAGTTTTTATCAGGAACATGTTTCTTACTCACTCGTAGTAGCATTGTGAAGAATTTTACTTTTGTTATTTTATCTCCCACTCTGTGTTTGACCCCGGTTATACCGGAAGAAGTTACGGTTTGACCTATGTCGTCACTTCCGTCCTATTACAGCCAATGGCGACTTATCGAAAGCTCATAGTCATATTTTATAATAACTTTACGGTTAGTAGTTGTCGTCTTTACGAGGCTTTATGAAGCATTGAAGCTTTCCAGCTAAATGTGTTGAAAAATGGTTCATTCGTTCAGTGTTTAAGTGCTCACTACCGCCCCCTGCTGATAAAACAAGACAATCTCCTTCTTTTTAATGGTTGAAGTCACAGTGAAGTAGCATAAAATTGTGGAAGGAGAAGGTTTCTTAGCTGTTCTTCAGCTAAAGTTATCAGCAAGAGGCATTCACACTAGCATTTTTGCCACTTCTCCTTCCACAACTTTTGTTCTACTTAAACCATTCATATATCAAAATGTTCAGCTCATTCAGGACATTCCAGCTATGACTTCTGGTAACCTAACTTTTTATACTTTATAGCAATTACAATTTTTAAGCATTTTCCCCCCTCTTTGACTTTGAATGGGTACATCTTTTGGACGGCTTCTCCTTCCACAATTTTTATGCTACTTAAACCGTGTCATATAACAATATGTTCAGCTCATTCAGGGCATTCCGGCTATGATTTTTGGTTTCTTAAAATTTTATAGTTATATTTTTAGCAATTTCAATTTTTAAAATTTTGATGATGATGATGATGTCATCAGTGACATCATTAGTCACATAAGTGACATAATCAGTGACATCATCAGTGACATCATCAATTTGTTTCTTAGCTTCAGCTAAAGTTATGAGAAAAAAGCATTCACACCAGCATTTTTGCCGGAAATGTAAATTCTCTAGTGTCATCATGATGTAATGATGTCATAGTTTAGATGTCTAAATGATGTCATAGTTCAGACAACATAACAATGTCATAGTTCTGATGACTTAATGATGTCATATTTCTGATAACTCAACTATGTCATAGTTCTGATGAAAGAATGGTGTCATAGTTTTGATGACAGAATTATGTCATATTTTAGACATCAGATTGATGTCATAGTTCTGATGACTTAATGATGTCATAGTTCTGATGACTGAATTATGTCATAGTTCTGATAACAGAATTGTGTCATAGTTCTGATGGCAGAATTATGTCCTATTTTAGACATCAGACTAATGTCATAGTTCTGATGAAAGAATGATGTCATAGCTCAATAACATAATGATGTCATAATTCTGATGACATAATGATGTCATAGTTTTCATGACAGAATGATGTCATAGTTCTGATAACATAATGACGTTATAGTTCTGATGCCTTAATGATGTCATATTTCTGAT